TACTTCCAGATCGAACATGGACTCCCAATGAAACAACTTACTCTATCTTGACAATAGAATGCTGGACTCTCTGCCATTGTCCATGCCCTCAATGCTCTAGTATTGGAGCATATGACAGTTTATGAAGAACTATACTATAGTAATAATATAGGGGAAATCAGTCGGGGGGGGGGGAATTAGAGAGCTGAGTAGGGAAATCCCAGGGTCTATGGAACTGTATCATGAAATGATAATAAAAAAATTATTTTAAAAAATCTTGCTTAAAAATATTTTGGCAATGATGAGAGATTTAACAAGTTCATTTCTAAAGATTTATTTTATTTTATTGGAGAGGCAGATATACAGAAAAGAAGAGAGAGAAGAAGATCTTTCATCCATTGATTTACTCCCCAAGTGGCTGCAATGGCCAGAGCTGAGCTGATCCGAAGCCAGGAGCCCGGAACCTCTTCGGCGTCTTCCAAATAGATGCAGGGTCCCAAGGCTTTGGGTGGTTTTCGATTGCTATCCCAGGCTACAAGTAGGGAGCTATATGGGTAAACAGTGCCACCGGTATTAGAATTGGTGCCCATATGGGATCCTGGTACATTTAATTTGAGGTCTTTAGCCTCTACGCTACTGTGTCAGGACAGTAAATACATTTTGTAAGAGCTATGCTTTAGTGAGTACAGAGGAAGGTTTACCTCTTAAAATATTTTTTTAAAGACTTATTTATTAAAAAATGCATTTTTATCTCAGGGTGATCCCATTACTGGCCACCACCACTCTGTTTTCCTGGGAGTTAAGCAGAAGACAACAGGGAAGAACAGAGGGATGGGGAGCCTACATTGTCTCCCAACTCTGATGTTCATTGCTAGATCCAAAATGAGCAGGCTTGTCCTGAAGCTCTGACTAACCTGGCACTCATTTCAAAGGTTTCCAGTATGTTTTATCAGGTGGGTTAGTGGTGGGAGAGAGGGAAGTAGGGAAAAGATTAATGATAAACATTGCCAGCACATGGAAATCTCCAATTTGCATTTATTAGTTACTTTTCAGAGCTCTCAAATTGCACAATATGATGGCCAAATTCTACAGTTCAGCACCCTGAAGAGGCTGCACTTGGCTGGCTTTCTCTCTTCTGGAACCACAGTCCCTTCCTCTGATCCTTTAGAATCAAAATCACCTAATATGAAGTGTATTGTTATATAAATCAAGTTTTTTTTCCCACTTGCTTATGCAAGAAGAATATTAAGTAATCTTTTTGTGGCAGTAAGAAACTAGAAGTAATAGCACGGCATTTTTTACATGCATTAAATCTCATATATTTATAGCAGCTCTCATCCCCAAAGAAGTATAGTTTTAATTTTTTCAAAGGAGCTTTTTTTTGTTTTATAAACTTGTATTTTGTGACTTTTAGTTCTTAGACTGTCAATTGTTATTATTATTTTATTCTGAAAAAGCAAAAATATTAATGCTTACTTATCCTTAGGTTTTAGTTATTTTTCTGTTTCTAAATTTCTTAATCTGTCCTACTTAAACTTTTCTACTTACATAATAGTGAGATTTAATTGCACAACAACATCTAGGAAAACAAAAATACTATTAAGGTCCGTTTATCAAACTTCTTTCATAAATTTCCTAAAACAATGATGTAAGTCACATATTTTAACAATTACACGTTTCAATTTATATGTGCAATAGAGTAATGGACACATTCAATTGTAATATGGGTTTCTATCACAAAAAATGCAATTCAGTGTTTCATCATATGGTGAAAATTGCAAACTCTAATATTCCAACAAGGATTTCTTATGGCTGCTAGTCTTCTAGTTCTCTGACAGTAAGACTAAGTCTAAGAAATATTTCTAGCAATATATAACCTAAATATGTATTATATTTTCTAGATCCACCTTTCTTAAATCTTTTTGATGTTGTATTCTTCTAGCATTCTTTCTGTTTTTATTAGAGGGTACAATATAACACAAAATCAAAGGATCATTTAAAAATATTTCATAAACAGTAGCTAATTTATGATTTGATTATTCTCAACTGAATAAACTCACTCTTCCTTTTAAATAAATAGTTAAATATTTTAAAAGACTATTAATAAAGTGCACTGTTGTTAACTTTCTGACATTTCTGTAAACTGTGAGAATTTAAAATGTGTTTGCTGACTTCTCTATTAGAGTAGGGTAGTATGGTCATTCCTGCTATTTGAGCATGTTACCTGTAGTAATTGTTGAGTGGATTGGAGAAGGGAGAAAAAAGAGGCAGGCAGTCTCAAGATGAATTCAGTAATCTAAATAACACAGGTTTAAATAATATATTCTTACAGAAGGGAGCTAAAAAGTAGGTAATGGGAGTTAAAATGCAGTCTATCTGAATAATAATTTGTATGTATGTGTGTGTGTATGTAAGGAGTGACCTGATACTGATACAGTAGATAACCTTTCACTTTCCAATATCATTCTGTATTGTAAGTGACTTGCTGAGAAATATTCGTAACAAAAAACCAAGATGTTTGCTTTTCTTTATTCTTTGGAAATAAGAAGTCTCCATGTTTTATAAACAGAGAAAAGAAACTGGTCCAAAATATCAGGTTAATAGAAGAAACTGCTTTGGGTCCAGCGCAGGAGCCGAGTGGCTAACGTTCTCATCTTGAATGCATTTGGGTCCTACATGGGTGCCAGTTCATATCCTGGCTGCTCACTTCATTTCCATCTCTCTTCTTATGGCCTGGGGGGACAGTTGAGGACAACCTAAAGGCTTGGGGGAACCTGTACCCGCTCGGGAGACTCTGAAGAAGCTTCTGGCTCCTGGCTTGGGATCTGCTCAGCTCTGGACATTGCGGCCACTTGGGGAGTAAACCAGTGGATGGAGGATCTTTCTCTTATCTCTCCCTCTCTCTGTTATTCTCTCTTTCCAATAATAAATAAATAAATAAATCTTTAAAACAACAAAAAATAAAGCATTTAAAAACTAAGAATATATAAGTATTCATAATCCATTTTAATAGAATTATGAATGAAAGTTAAACCACAAATTGAATAGTTTATACAGAATGCCTACTTCATCTGGAGTCCCAATGAGTTCATATTAAACATTAGTAAGTCATTGAATCATTCATTTACTCAATTTTTCAACTTTTGTATGAGCTGTATGTATAACTGAAACATCCTAGCACTCTTGTTGTTAGAGTGGTTAGATCCGTTCTAGCGTCACTAGAAGTAGAGGTCACAGCTATGATAAAAGAGAAATAATCTACCATATTATAACCTAGAGAAATATATGATGTATACTATTAAATCGTGCTATATAAAAAAACACGTTTAAGTACCTTATAGTGGTTTTCTAATATTTTCAATACCAGACTCCTTTATTTCACAAATGAAACAGACTAGTAAGCCCTAATATGGAAATCAACTACTATGTTAATAATCCATATGCATGAGTACAAAATTATAATGTTTTCAAAGGTGATTTTAATATAAACAGACACTTGAGATCATGTCTAAAGTAGAAGTATCAAATCAGCAGTATCAAATAATTTTGAAGATATTCACTGATTGTATTCCTTATAATAAAAAAATCAACAACCAATAAACTGAATTCATAGAAAGATAAATCATGCCATGATCAGAGCATTTGTTTTGTAGAAATGAGTGATGATCAGCATAAATTAAATTAGCAGAGTTCTCACACACTGTCCAATTCAACTAAACAACTATGTGTTGAGCACCTACTTTATAAGAGGTACTGAACACTGTGGACGTGTTCATTGTTACTGAAAGCCATTAAACAAGTGTTTGTCAAAGGATAACTAATGTGTAAAATGTACAAATGCTTCGAGCAACTACATTAGTCACATAAGTCAGGAATTGCTTTCTAAAAGCAGTGAGATGATGGCTGTGAATTTGAAAGATTACCCTTTGAAGAAGAGGAAAAAGCATGGCAAATTCATGGAAATTAATGGAGTTCTTTGGCTTTTCACTCGGCTGTCAGTTGCTCTCTTAGGACCTAAAAGGTTTTAAGGGGCAATGAAAAGGGGGAGGGCAATTTCTAATGTAATAATGGGATATAACAGGAATTGGAATTTTAAAACAGAAGTCTAGAAAGACTTCATTGTTAAAGCTGATATTTGATGAAAGAGCTGATGTGAATCAAAGAAAAAACCATGTGGGCTGCTGGGTAAGAGAAAGTGTGGAGAGTTCTATGGCAAGGTGGGTTCTAAGTGTTTGATATTCAGAAGGGAGTCCGTGTGACTAGAATAGAGGATCACCACTGTCTCTATTGATATTAATGTTGACTAATAAACTTAACTAATAATTTTAACATGCAAAGTTGATGAAATTATTCTCTTAAATTATGGGACCATTTATTAAAAAATCATCACATTAAGTATAAATTATGATAGTTACAGTATGCATGAATGATCTTTTAGCAACTTAGAATTTAAAGACATGCCAGTATAACTTAATACATACTTTAAAATTAGCAATCTCTGGGCCCTGGTGCAGTAGCTTAGTGGTTAAAGTCCTCACCTTGTATGTAACAGGATCTCATATGAACATGATATGAATGCTTCACTTCACATGCAGCTTTCTGTCCTGGGAAAGCAGTTGAGGACAGCCCAGTGCCTTGGGACCCTGTACCGTGTGGGAGACCTGGAAGAAACTCATAGTTCCTGGCTTTGGGTTGGCTTATCTCCGGCCATTGCAGTCACCTGGGGAGTGAATAAGTGGAGAGAAGATCTTTATGTTTCTCCTTCTCTGTGAATTTGCTTTTCCAATAAAAGAATAATAAATCTTTTTAAAAAATAGCAATCTCCTCTAAACTGTGATACCTCAGTTTTATTAGTGACTTTGAGTATAGCTAATTTCATTTACTAATCTATATTGACATTCTGTGTATGTGTGACACTGAACTCTTGGATCCTAAGTATATATAAATTAAAATGAGTTGTACAGATGAAAGAATTCTAACAATAATAACTGCTTCAAAATGCTGTTTTTCTTGTTTTAAAGCTTGCAGACCAGGATTCTATAAAGCATTTGCCGGAAACACAAAGTGTTCTAAATGTCCTCCACACAGTTTGACCTACAAGGAAGCAACTTCTGTCTGTCAGTGTGAAAAGGGCTATTTTCGGGCTGAGAAAGACCCACCTTCCATGGCCTGCACCAGTAAGTCTGCATGTTCTGCATTTGAAATTCCTTTCCCAATAAGTAAACAAACAAAATGCTGCCATCCCCAGTGCTGTTTGCCTTTGGTAATGGTCACAGAAAAGTTTCTGTCTGTACTCCTGGGAAACAATATCTTTACTCGTCAAGATGATATTTATTCATTGTGAACCTGCAAATTTTCCAAAGCTCTATTCTGTTCTTAGAAATTTAGGCATTTAAATACCATATGAGATGTTAAAAGCAAAACATCTGGTTTTTGCTTCAACTTTTGAGCATTTTGATGGGTATCAATTTAGAAACACAAAACTTAATATGTGGAGGGCATCCAGGGAAAGCTTCAGAAGTCCCAGTACTACTATGATACAGAAACGTTAGAGTTTGCTTGACATTTGTCTTCAAAGAAAGATGGTTCTGAGTTTGTCTCTATTTTACCTGCCACTTTTTCTGCAATTTTGAGGGTGAATGCTGAATTTAAATGTGACAGTCATGTTATTGCTTGTATTGATAATTTTGAATTATTTGCAATCTTCTATTAGTAATGTATTGTAAAATATTTGTTTATTTAAAAAATAAAAGTGAATATACTGATTTATTGCTAAGTTGTATGAAATAGAATATGCAAAATTAAAATATCACCACTTAGATCATTATAAAAGTCCTGGTAAATACATAAATAAGATATTAAAGTGAACATTTGCCACACTGGGTAATGCAATTCCATAGAAGCAAAAAGTCTTGGGACTTTGCACCCAAATGGGAGACCCAGAAGAAGCCCCTGGGTCTTCAGGGGCTGAGTCAGGTTGGCTCAGTTCTGGCAGTTGCAGCCACTTGGGGAGTGAATCTGCGGACAAAAGATCTTCCTCTCTGTCTCTCCTGCTCTCTGTATATCTGACTGTTCAATAAAAATAAATAAATCTCTTTAAAAAATAATAGCGACAGGAGAGGGCTCCAAAGAAGGAAAGAGCCGAGGAGATGGTGGAGGTGGTGTATTCTATGCACCATCTCAGGGAGGGGCACAAAGAGGAAAGAAAAAAGGGGAACATGTTTGCTTTTGGCAATAGAACTGTATCATAAAATAAATTCATTCATTTATCTTTTTTTTAAGAGGCAATTTTAGTAACGTGTTATTGAAACGTAAAGAGATAGCAGTGGACATCTCAGTAAAGGATTAAGAATACAGATTCTATTCAGATTGAAGAGTTATGGATAATAGTTTGGTCCCTCACTTCTTCTAACCTCTCCCTTCTTCTCAGAAAGTGTGGGTGGGAAATTCTCAAGGAGGAATTTCTCCTAGAATTTCTCGATTGACTTGATGAAGGGCAGATGAGATTCTGCTGACACACTAGAAAGTGGCGGAAAGCCAGCTAACAGGGTGATAAGATATACTTTAGGCTTGGAATTCCTCTAAACAAACGTGTCTGGACAGAATTGGACATCAAGACCTTATATTGGAGAGGCAAATAACTACCTCCGTCCAGTGATCAGAACCTTGTTAAGCCAGGTGTATTGCTCCTCCAAGTCAGTGAATCCCTTTTAATAACTGACAAGCAAGGACACTTTGGACAAAGAGATAGAAAATAGAATGTTTTTAGGACTTGTTTCCTTATTCCGTTGCACATAAATTATTTGCTTTCTCCAGTCTTGTCAAATACATAGATTGATATCTACCCAGATGCCTTAACAATTGTAAAAAAAAATTTAGCTGGGTGGGTACTTGTTAAAAAAAAACCAAACCAACAGATTAACAAGAAAAAGGTAAAAAGCTTTTTTTTTAGCATGTAAACGATGTGGGAAAATATCTAGGTAGATGATTAAATCTCCAAGAGGCTTCTTTGGGTACAGGCACATACCTTTCTTTAACTAAAACTAAGAAGAATTTTGGAAAATCGCTTGTGGAAAAGTTACCAGGAAAAGCATTTCTTTTGAGAGTAAACAATAATTTATTCTAACAAAATGGGACACCCTTACAAATCTGCTTAAAAAAAAACTCCACTGATTTTAAAAAATGAAAACAAATGAAGATCTCATTTGCAGCCATAAATTAGATATATATATAAATGTCTCTTACAGAGGGATCCTGTTGGCTCCTTTCTCTTGGTTTCCCCTTTATCTGCTACTTTCAGAAACAATTGGCTTTATAATCAGCTAAATAACTTTTAGGCCAAGGAGGCATATCTAGGAGTGGCATATTCTATTTTCTTGCAATAATATTTTCAGATAACACATTTGGTCTCCTACATTGTCATCAGATATAAAAATAGAAGAAGGTGAAATGGAAAGTTGTTCTTAGGTTTATTTACTCCATCCACAGGTTTTCCTCTCCAGGCTTCTTGCTGTTATGTTTTTGAAAACTTGTTTGTTTGGTCTATCAAAGATTCTGAGTTGTATACTAGAAAGTGCACCATCTTTAAAACTTCGAGACACCTGATTTTAGAATTAATCTTGTTGCCTCATAGCCATATAAGGGAAGAATATTTCTCTTTTATTAGGCCATCTACCCATTTGTGGTAATATACTTAATCAAGTTAGTGTTTGAGAAGTATTATAAATAGTACCTTAGCCATAATAAACACTACATAAAAGGTGGTTAAATAAAGGCATTTTCTTAACATTCAAGAATTTCTGGAAAGTCATCATCCCAACTACTGAATACTTTGTCCCTTCAACAAGTGTTGTTGAGTCAATTAGATAAGCAAACTGCAGAAATAAGAAGCAAGAGCCCCATCTCTCCTCTGAAAATTCAGCACTAAATTGATCAGGGATATATATCTGCATCCATAAAACAATGAGATTAAAACATTGGAAGCACTCCACAAGAAACAGGCATTATGTGGGCTGGATTATAGGGCAGGTTGGGTTGCACTAGGCTCCAATGCCCATTGACATGTATGAGAGCTTAATGGGATGTGGTATAGACTGAACAAGGCTGAGGTACATACTGGCAAGCATGGGAACCAGGGGAGGGGGCAGGCATGGTAGGGGTTATGATGAGTCGCCCCAACTAGGCTGCAGCTCCCACTGGTTTGCGTGACGACCAAATATGAAATAGGTAGGATTGGGCTGGACTGCAACACCCATTGGTTCACGTGGAAGACAGGACTGGAAGCAGAACTGACCCAGCAATTGCAGCCACCAGCATATGCATGAACTGATTGGGGCGATGAACCCTGCCGGACCCTGTACTGGGAAGCGCACACAAGATTCAGGTCTGGGATCACCTCAGACTAAGTTTCTCTGGGGATCCCTCTAACTGAACTGCTGATCTCAGAATGCCAATCATGAAGAGACTATGTCAGCCCGTGAATTCTGAAGAGCTTTCATGGCGCTTGGAGTGGCAAGATTGACAGTAACTCGGAATTGTTGAACTATCAAAACTGCTTGAGCAGGACTCCTGGAGAGCTCCTCGCAAAGGGGACCTGGGATGTGTGAGAGGCTGGGTGGGGCTTTTCCCTGTATCTCTTCCCTTACCAAGGATACAGAAAAAAACATAAATGGGAAAACAGTGCTCTTACCCGCTTTCCTGTAGCCCTTGACCCTTTGTGCTCTAATCATCTATGTAAAGATTACCAAAATAATTTTTTAAAAGGGAGCCTTTTCAATTTCATAATCCAAACACATTTATGACTTATTCACAAGAAGATTTTTCGGTGATTCAAGTGTCTGTCATCAAAACAAATTTCATAAGTGAAGTTGATCATAGTAATTTCAGGAAGTGAACTTACTCTTTAGATTTGCTTAGATTGGTTACTGATTATTCCTTCATATGACTTTTTGATTTAACTTATTCCTTACTATTTATATATTAAGATTTGAATCTTTAAAAATGTTTCTAGTACACAATTTTTCTGCTCTCTCATGCATACAACTTAGAAAAGCAATGTCTATTGACTCGGGCTATTTTTCATTTCTTATTTGCTGTTCACTGTATAATTAATTTTTTTCCTATTACTTTAATAAATTATTATGAGAAAAATTTTGCAATGATGTCCATTGACATTTTGTATTAGAAATATTTTCATTCTGTAATTCATGACATTTAGTTCTCTTTGTCACTCTCTTCTTGAAATTACTTTTTCCTGTTCAATTCAGGATATTGCAATTGCTGCCTTATACTCCTAATTTTCTGATTATTTTATATGCTGCCACTCATGATTTCCTTTCTTTTGCTTGCCTGTGAAATGTGAACTTTTCTCCATTCATTTTGTTGTCTTATTTTTTCACATTTTCACAGTTACGTGTTTACATAGCTTTAAATATCACCCATACATAAATAATGCCATATTTTATACATATTTCAGTCTTCTCTTTAGGCTCCAGCTTTTTTAGCCAACTTATTATGGATTCCCAAAAAATATAACCTATGAGAACTTTACTTTCTGACATTATCTTGTACTGCTGTTTCTTGGTTTCAAAATCTGGATTTTAGCAATGCTGAATTTGTTCTCATACTTGGTGATAGCAATTTTCTCTACTTAAATTGTGATCACTTACTCAAAAACAACATCTTTCACAGTTTAATATTTAATGTCTTTCTGGATTATATCATTCTTTGAAAATACCTAGGTTATTTATGTGGTTGCTTCCTTGCTTGTTACCATTCCTTTAAAAAAACATGTACTTATTTTTCTTGAGTATCAGAGTTCCAGGAGAGAATGGGAGAGATCTTGCATCCCTTGGTTCATGTTCCCCATGGCCACAATGAACAGAGCTGGATTCATCCACAGCTGCAACCCAGGAGCATTTTCCAGATCTCCCACTTGAGTGAAGGGGACCAAGTTCCTGGGGCATCCTCTGCTGCTACTTTCTAAAGCCTTTAGCAGGGAATTAGATCAGAAGTAGAGCACCCAGGATTCACACCAGTACCATGCGAGATGCTAGTGCCACAGAGGATTAGCTTGCTATGCCACTATGCTGACTCCCGTAATTCTACCCGGGCATAGGCTCATCAAGAAATTTCACGCTCATCCTGCCAGTTCATTTTATGACTTTCCACGTTATGC